ACACATTATTTCCAATTAATTTTATTTCTATGGCTGAACATAAGAACTTGTTATTTAGACGATGTAACACCGATTATGGGCAATCACCAGAGACATTGGTATAATCACGGATTAGCCAAGAACATTCCACAAGCGGCCGAGAATGAGGAATCCGCATATTCAAACGATGTCACTGCACGGCCCATTAGAAAACACGGGACTGACGGTCTTGACTCGTCAACCCCTTTCCCAGAATTCAATGTCAGTGGTGGCGGTAAGCCATAGAATATGACACATCGACTCAGGTGACCGTATGCATCCTAATGTCAATGTTTGCGTGTCACGTGCTTTTCCACAAACACGTAAAAAGGTTGATATGTAATCGTTTTTGTTACTCGACTCCGTTCCTTAGAAGGGATGAAGCAAAACATTTAATTACATAGCTTAATTAACTGTAGTCTATGAATATTTTGTGGATTCACTGCCGAATTTAAACACCTGTAATTGCACAGAGCAAATTAATGATAATTTTTAACCAATGATAGTCAAGCACAACTTGCAGCACTTGCTGATTAGTGAATTCGAAAGTTAGATGGCAGTCGATGACGGCGGAGTAAGAGAGCCGTTTGTGGAAGAAAGTATACAAGGAATCCAAATTGGCATTATAGGTTGGTTGGGAATTGTCGCCGTAGCAATACCTGATTCGTGGGTGGTTTGAAGATTTCTTTTAAAGCATAAAGCAATTGTACTTTTCGCTTATGTGTGTTAAGATAACTAGAACATCTCAAGGTTACCTCACACGAAATCATTTATTAGATTGAATCCAATTGCAAACTAAATGATTTCTCAAATTTAAATAATAATTTCGTGTAATTTAACGAATTACACCTAATGTAAATAAACAGCTCGTTATAATCTTTTGCTACGCGGATAGAAAATAATAACATTTTTGATTATTAAGGAATAGTATTTTCTTTAGAATGAATTAATTTTTGGCACAGTTAATGACAATTCGCCAATCGATTTGTAGATCAACTATAGCGAAAGTAGCCCACAATACGATATTTGATTAACGTTATTTTAATAAAACAACGTAATGCAACACAATTTGCCTTGGGGTTAAATCCCAGAATTAGAGAGGTCAATTATCGAGGTCTGTGTTTTTGTTCACCGTAGAAGATGTGCGCCTGAGGACTTCAAATCGCAATACTTTTGCCATGTTTTCCCCACAAGGCAGACCGCATACCATGTGGAGTAATTGGACCAGTTTATCAGATCCCTCCCATGGTCCGGCACGAGGGTTCAACGATCAAAGTGGCCAGAAGTAAGCTCGAGTCTGCGTCTGTAGAAGCACATTTTGGTGCATGATTGAGTTAGGAAATCTTAATGCCAGCTTTACATTCGAAACGTATCCCACCGTTTCCGATTAGATTCATCAATTCTGGGGACCACATATTTTTCTGCTCTACTTATCCCATTATCACCAATTACCGCTTGTCAGAACTCAGAATATTTACTACCAGTTAATTCTAATTTGCTGATTATCACTGCTCCGACTCGTACAAGGGAAAAAACGCCATATTTCTTGCCAATTTTAGATTTATACCATATAAATTCATCACCTACTTCATTAGTTCAGAATCTAACAATTGCAACTCTGATCTAAGCGACTCAACCTCCAAAGTAAAGTGTCTGCAATGCACAGTTGTTTCTAGTTTCGCATAATTCTATGGTGACCTTCAAGACAGGTCACCACGAGTGCATTTCCAACTTCCCAAATTTTGATTCTAGCACTCTCAATACAGCTCAAAAGTTGTTGCCAGTTCCACCAGGCCAACGGACGTTGGAAACTCCTCCACTACCTCCAAGGGACGCCAAAGCTCCCAATTCAGACCTAAATCAGGACTTACCTTTACAGTTCCAACGCATTCAAATTAATAATTTTAATGCGTCTCCTGGCCAATATACACCCAACGCAAATGTCTTCGAAACGACCTTGGACTCTGAGAAACCACCAGGCACTCCGAAGCCAGAACAGAATGGATGCATCGACAGACTAACCGCTGAGTTTCACTCTGATATATCCGATGTATCATGTAATGACTCTGCACAAGATGATACAAATTTGAGCTCCACTGCCTCACCGGCGCCGGGACATGGACCAATGGGTGAGGTCGAGGTGGATTTGGATGAAAATGCATGCCGTGAGTTAATAATTCATTTCCCGAATCCATCGTTTGTGAATGCAGGGTGCCACGGCATCTTGATATGTGGCACAATGACGGGTTCTGTTCCCAAATTTAGTCAAAAGTATACCCACTTTTAATGCGTAACGATCAAAACGTTGATCAAAATTTGCTTAAACCCACATAAGGTGGTCCTACCAAGGTTGTAAACGTAGTTCATGCAGCAGTCTACGCTGTAATTAAGTCTACTCAAATCAACTAGCCATACGTAGCTTTTTGGCAGAATATATTTCACTCAATTTCTGCTAGGAATTGTGAAGTTTAACAGCGACATAGATAGCAGATATAACAGAAACTTCACGTTGTAACCATTTTTCTCAAAATTTGATATTCGTATGGCAGCGTTTCGCCATGTTCTTTAAGGCCTGTGAAACAAATTTCAAAATCGGCTTGATTTCCACAGTTTACAGATCTTCTTAGTAGCCATTGTGGCGCCAAATCTTGTTACTTGTTATGAGGTAGCTGACACATAGATATTGGTGCAGAATGTCACGCCGTTTTTTTTTGGCTACAAAGAATGCGTTCATGGGGCTGAAAGTGACTCCTACTTCGAGAAGTCATTATTTGCTGAATGTCAGGCGGTTGATAGCTTCGCAGTGTAGCAACGGATATACTTATATAGGACTTTTAACACTTTAAGCGATGTAGCATGAGCAGAACATCTCTTGAAAACAGCTACATTTAATCTTAGACAATAGACACTTCATTTTTTGCAAAAGCCATGTTAACGGTACTGGTACATCAGCTTACTCTACTTCAATAACACTTTTGCTGTCAAAACTGGACTTGCAAATTCACTTTCCGTAGCCACATGCAATCAGTCGTTTCAATGCGTCATAACTGTCAATACACGGTGCTCCAAGGGCTTATTGAGGGCCATGCCGGAGACAACCGTTTACCGGATGGCTGAACCAAGTTGTGTCTGAATAATGTCGGTTGTTGACTGAGTGAGAAGCAAGGGAGGTGCCTGCACCGAGAATGTGAGCAGACAGTCTTTCATAGCTGACGGGCATGCTATGAGAAGAATGCGACAACGGAGCAAAGAAACGTGGGTCAACACGATTCACTGCAGGCTTATTTAGTCTGCATTCTAAAGTGCGTAGATTCACGTCGTCGAAATCTCGCAATGTAACCGAGTTTCGTGCAAATTGGACTTTCCGTGAGTCATATGTAAATGCGGAAATATGTCTAGTCTGGGCGTTTTTCAGTGGTCCCACTAAAAAATGCTCATGGGTGTTGGAAAACACTACGTGGAATAGCGACCAGTTTTTTGTTTTATGCCAATTTTGGCACTTGAATGGAGGCGATTTGGTGTCAGTGTTTTCCTAACGATACGACGATCGGCCGTCTGAGCTGCCCAGCACAACTCTGATTCCACCCAAAAGCCTTTTTTTAACTCATTTCAGACGAGGCTTTCGATAATAACAACGATTCGGAGCAGGCAGCGTACACGCCAGTATTCAGTAAGTTTACTGAAAATGTACTTCGAATTGCATACGGTGACCACTCGATTTGAGAATATGACCGGTGCCATTGTAGGTAAAGGGACGTAGAGTGGACTTTGATACATTCCAGTCAAATAGTTATGTTAGGTTACTGTCGCAGCTTCATCTACTCTCCCTAAGTTCACCTAGACAGCTGAGAATCTCACAAGGTGACCGAATACAAACAAAATTTCACAATAGAATAAACCACGACGAATGTGATTATTAAAAAACTCTGTTAATAATATTTAAGCTGGTTGGAAATTCGCAGTTTGCATGAACAGTGTTTAACTGTGTGAAACAATGTGGAATCTTTTGTCATGTTTATCTGAATTTCTATTTAAGATGCACAGCAGTCACCAAAAGAATTTGAACTCGATACCATCTGGACACCTGGCTACTACGGCGAAGATGAAGAAGACATAGGCTTAAAGTCGGCCTTTTTCTCAAATAGGCGCGGAAACATCAAGCTGAGGATTGGTAAGAGAAAGGCAGCGTTTGACGTGACGCGGAACGACGGCGAATACGAGGTAAAAATCGATGGTCACAGCTGTACAGGAAGATATCTTTCAGAACTGACAGAAAATGTCAATTGGGTAAGAATCAAAGTGTTCATTATTTATGTGCAATTGGCTGAGATTCTCGGAGGATGCTGGACGTATCAAGGTGAACACACATTTTAAGCTTGAAATACATGGAGTTGTTTTAGAGTTTATCCAACGCAGACGACCAGATCATCGACTGCTCTCGGTGTTGAAGACCTTTTATCACGAGAAGTAACCCGGGAAGACAATAAGTCCAGAGATGGCAGGCACGACCGTTTACTAGACAGATCAACAAAATTGTGTCGTGTACATTTACGGTTGAGTGGACATGTACAAAAATAAACACAGGTGTCTGCGAGGTCACATGACTAAAGCGGGTGGTGGTGGGACACGCAGAGTGGTTAATGAACAAGCGGCCTCTCGTGACTGACTGGCACGCCGTGAAAAAGGGGGGACGTGTGTTGGAAGCCACGACGACTGGGGGATTGGACATGAATCAACACGAATCCCTACATCAGATTAGTGCATGCACTAGAATGATCAAAACAATGCCCGCTACCAGAGCCTTCGTGTGAAATGTTACCATTTATTCTCACACTTAGGTTGACATGCTTTGTAAAACTACAAGTCTGCTCTTTCTAATGTTTAAATAGGTTCTCCATGGTGACGAGAGCATCACGACGGATCCTCGAAAATGCCCATCACTTGTATACCGGCAAGATTTAATTAGCTTTGCTGGTGCCGCGCAAATCGAAAAGTCTACGTTGGCAGTGCATGATGGCAGCATTGCAAAGGGATCGTTTGGCGAGGTTGCGTTAGCTGAACACAAGGTGATCTCATTCTCGCTTTAAGTTTGCATTTTAAACACGAACTGAAAGCGCCATCACAAACCCAACAGCTTAGCAAATGGAATTTAAGTGCTACCGTTGTCGAATATGTCCTTCAAGATTATACCACTTCAGTACATTTCACTCTATATCACCCCTTAGTTTCTTTGTGTAGGATTTTCATCCTTTCACGAAGACAGCCATGAGGTGAAATACCGCGGTTTCTGGGTGCTCTGCAAAGACATTTACCCTGACTCCGTTTGGCACAATGTCTCCTGTCTCTAAAGAATGGCTATTTACCTATGTCCAGAGTCGAAGTTAAATTGATGAACACACATGCGACCAAACCAGATACGTGGTATCCCAACCCAGCGTTCATTGGTTTGCCTAGAATCAAATATACCACTCAATGGTAGTTCAGATGCTTCGCGTAAGCAATCGCAGTGACTGACCCAAAAAATTCATAATTCCACAATTGCATATTGGTTGGAGTAAACTTGTCGTATTGCCGATATGTTAAGCCATAAAAATTAAGCTCAAGTGCCGTCGTTTCAACTTTTTAGACAATCAGTTACGCAAAGTCAAAAGTGGCGATCAAACGCATACATCAGGATTCCAGTCATGCTCTCGTTGGTGCTATGGAGATAGCCGTGTTGCTTGAACTTGCAAAAACGCCTAATGACAACCTCATTCAGCTAGTTGGTTGGTACTTGGACACCGACGCTCTCTGCATTGTGACAGAATACACGTCTGGTGGTAACCTTGCTGACTACATAGCAGGACACTACATAGTTGGTGACTACATTCAGCTGATGGACTTTTGCGAATTCGCCAGACAAATCGCCAATGGAATGCAGGTTCTCGAGGAGCGGAAAATTCAGCACAGAAATCTGGCTGCTCGCAACATCCTCCTTGACGCAAATAAGAGACCGAAGGTAATTGACAACACGATAGAATTTAATTTCTAAAAAAATGGGAAGATGATACTTTTCACGTAAATATTTTCAGTTATCACAACTAAGCGGTCAGGCTTTCATGCTTTTGCGCAACCTTTTACCAGATAGATAAACCATGTTGTCTGTATATTGTTGGTCGTCGACTGATACAGTCGAAGCGAACATAGCTGAGAAGGAGGAGAAGGAGGGTGGTGGCGTCCTTTGTTATATCGATGACAAGAAAGCAATGCATTTCCAAAAACCTTTGGTGGCAGAACGTCAACCTCGTTCCCCTAAATGCATTTTACAGATTGCTGGATTTGGACGCAGTCGTCCACAGGGCTCGCACTTCACGTCTGGCGACATTGCAATCAAGTGGGCTGCCATGGAAGTGATTGAGGATGGCAGCAAGTACACCCTCTCCTCCGACGTGTGGTCGTATGGCGTGGTGTTGTGGGAGATCTACAGCGTGGCTTGTCTGCCGTACAGGGAAGTTGATGATTCTCAACTGTTGGAGCACCTGAAGGCAGGGCACCGTCTTGAGCGACCTCTTGACACTCCGGATTCCATGTACTCAATAATGCAGGAGTGCTGGCGTGAAAGGCCGTCGGACAGACCGACATTCAGTAACATCTTCAGTCGACTGAATAAAAGAAAAATGTCAAGGCGTTCGCATGCACTACACCACTAACGCTGCTTGCCAGAAGCGTGACCAGTTGTGTCGAAATATATTCATTCCTTTTCAATCCCCTATCCCACTACCTTGGCATGGGATCAGCTCGAATACTTGCATCCTGCCCAGGGCAGCTGCAATGTTTCTACTCATCTGTATCGTGCCTTTTTTAAATTAAAGTTAGCATGAGATTGATTGTAGGGAGTCTAAAATAGGCTGGTTTATTGTAACACCTGTTTTCCAAAAATATTTGCTGATCTACGCCTCATTTTGTGAATCGTCTTTCAGATGATAAAATATACAGTTTTGGAAAAAAACTGTGTGTGCATGTTTTGGTGCCAATGTCTGTCGCATTTGACGGGCCCAAAATCACAAGCTAAAAGGGATGTAAAGAAAGAAGGTTTTTTGTGGTGAAACTCTTATTTACCAACCTGATCAAATTCTAAATTAATCGAGCACTTTTTAATTTATTCCGTGGTAAGAAGCTTGCATCCTTAAAAATAATTTCATGTAGTCTCTTGTAGATTAAGTAGAGTTCATTTTCTGAGATTTCTAAATCGTTAAAATTTACCAAATCCTATTTAAATACACACGAAGTTCACCATATAATTCTCGCAGCTGTCTGACGCATTTGTCTGCTAGGATACTAAATTTGAACGCCTGCAAATTAGATCAGGCATTGTGGGGTTTTGATTCAAACTGACATCAAAATTTAAACCATCTTTCAGTCGGGCAAATAAGTGGTACTCCTAGAGCTACCAACGACTCTTTGAAGACGATCAAGAGTGCAAGAATGAGTAAACCTCCAGGCCGCAATTGAAAGTCAATCGGTTGAGATGTTCCACTTCAGAAATAAGACGATTTGGACAATTCACGTCGACGATCAACAAGCTCAAACCCACTTCATCCACGTATTTCGAAAAGACAAATCTGCCGTTAGGTATGATGTAAAACGCTGAGTGCCTCAGAACAACTACGATGGACCTTTCATTGTCCGTGGACAACTAATCCTCCCCACGTTATCGTGCGCGGGGAGACCTTCCGTAATCGGATTTGGGGAGCCACATGCTCCTCCTTTCCTCCTTGAGAGTGTCACGAAGACGATCGTAGCACGTCGGCTTCATTGACACAGTTATTGTGGGCGTTGGGAGTTCATACTAGTCCGAGTAAGACAGTCTGGAGGGGATTGTCTTGATTGAATCAACTACAACGCCTGCTTCTTGGAGTGCAACCATGTTGTGGACGAGTTCTAGACCATTCCACGACAAATTTGAGGTGTGTACATTGCCAAAGACGACGTGATTTACGCTTTCTTACCATCCATATTCTCATTTCATTGCCTGTTTCCCGCATGTACGCACCGATACACAAACTCGCTTGTAATATTATCTAGCCGTTCAAGACAAAGCCAGTAGATTCGCATGCCCGCGTGTGTTTACAATGAGTCGCGTGACAACATGTGACGCCAAGCGATCACATTGTTGCCTTTAGACGGACTAGCGTTCACTTGAGTGTATGGTGAGGCCTGTGATGACCTCGTCTACGCGGCAAGGCACTTTTCATATGAACTCAACTTCTCCACTAGCTGTCACAAGATAGAATCTGCGATTTATGCTTTCGCCTACCGCTCAGCTGAAGCGTCACGTTGGTGGTTAGTGGTGACATGCATGTGGATTTGAATAGCACTCGAAGTCTTTGCTTGTCAGCCCCAAATGGAGTACAAGATTTCACCCATAGAGGCTGTAAGTTGTCGGATTGTACTGGGAGTATGGCGATGGGTTTTGTCAGTGACTTATGCCCCATGGGTGCATCAGACGGTGATGGTTGATTTGGAAGGGATGAATGTCCTGTTGAGCGAAATGCAAAGAAGAAATTCTCTAAGATTTCAATTTTGATCAAGACCAGCCTCATGGTGTCAATCAATCGGTCAGCCTGACTGTTTGACTCTTTTTGGTAGGTGTGTAGCTGATATTTGTGTGATAGCACATTGCCTACATAACTCCCCAATCTGCTGTAGTGTGAATCGGGAGCTAATGCCCGAGACTATAGCTTCAGTGTTGGTTGGAAATTCGAAGCAACACCTGTTCTGCCCCTGTTGTCGTGGGAGAATTTAAAGGAACAATATCCAGCCACGTTGAGTAAGCGTCAACTAACACAAGACGCGAAATCTTTCTGACGGGTCCTTCAAAGCCAATTTGGACGTGGAAATTGCGACCGCGAGACCAAAGAAACCATTGGGGGATTCTCGTCTGCCTGTTGGCATTTGAAGCAACCACTAGCAATGTGTGGTATCTTTCTGTCCATTTGAGGCCACTGATTGTAGTTGCGGGCAGTGGATTTCACACGGACGATTCCAAAGTGCCCTTGGTGAAATTTCCTAGGATTTGGACACTCCAAGGTGTCTTCCAACAAACCAGCAGCTACCTACAACGCACAGTGGCACAAGTCAATAAAATAACTGCTGTATGTCTCTAAATAGGGAGAAATTAGGCCATCTCCCTTGGACATACGGGCTGGCCTATTGTGATAAGTAGTTTAAGGGGAGTTCGGAGACCGGTAGTTTGCCGAACACCTGTGGTAGATGCTGTGTGACACCGCTGTTAATGAAGACGGCAGCGACGACAGCATCACCACTATTAATTTCAAGGTCAAGTATTCATCTTTTCACCAGGGCTTCTAAATTCTTTCCTAAGACGCACCTTAATGCCACATTCTGCTTGTCATCTGCACAAGTCATTATAATTGTTTACAAGGCCAATTTGGCATAGACGAGATGCTCGTCTGCTGGTGGCGATGGATTGAAGTGTGTTCAGTTAGTTCTTTAATTGATGCACAAACTTTGAATATTTGAGGAAGTTTACGTTACGCCGAAGGGCTCCATCTTGAAGACGAAGAGTGCCTAGGGGCAGCTATTCTTGTTTGCGTTTTGAGTAAAATTAAAGTTGAAATGACCGAACCAAACGCGCTTACTTAAGTACTTATGTGAAATCGGGGAGAATTTCTTGTGCCAGAGGCATTCGATGTCTGCGTGAGTCATTTCCACTTGCGAGAAACAGTCATACTTCAGTGAAGCAAATATGAGGAATCGTGACGTAATCTGTCATGCTTAGCCATCCACACAAACCAACAGTTATCACTGTGTGTGACCTACGTACATTTATAAAGACTAATGTGGAGTTCCTCAGCAGCTTCACAACCAAGGTGACATTTCCGTGAAAAACATTTGAAACCAGAACGAAAACTAATTTGAGATAGAGCAGAAGCAGACAGTAGTCTGTTATGTTTTTAGTTTAATTTGGAATTGTTCGCTGACATGCATTTTATAGTCTTGGCGCCTAATTTGTAGATCCTTTTAGCATGAGCTTAATTACTGTATGTGGGTAAGCAGTTGTTATTATTTAAATGTTTGAATGTAAACCACTGCTGTACCTTGTCTTTACCCAACCATTCACCGAAAATGCCAGAATACCGTTTATACAAAAAGCTAAGACTGCACACCGATCAAGGGGATAGTTAGTGGTGTCAAATGGTACCTGAGGATCAACGGACGAGCAATCAACTCTGCCAGGAACGGCTCCCAACAGACCTCGTGAATAAAGTGATTTAAAAGGACCTCATTGGCTAAGTGTGAAGATTATCGACTGAAGGAATGACTATAATATGAAAAAGAAGGTTGTCAGGGATTAGTGGATGAGACAGTACAATTTCCCAAAATCGAGTCATGCAGATTTTTCTCGCAATATATTTCATGACTAAATATTTCACATTAGACCGTTTTACATTCAATTGTTAGAAAACTCTGTTTTACGTAAATTCCAGAAGTTGTTTGTTTTGTAAACCAATACTGCCTTAATCTAATAAACGGGCCAAAAACGTCAAATGAATCTGCATCTTACCTGAAGTTTTGATGCAAATGAATGACGTTGATGGAAGTTAGCAGGTATCTTGAGGTCTGCTGAGGGAGTTTTGCAAGATGCACCCACGTAAGATATTTCTTACGGTTAAAAAAAGCACACACGAATTCTTAGAGGAGGGCGCGTCATGAGTGACGTCCCTGCTATGTGGGTGACATCCTCGTCTCAGTTTAGCCGAAATGGCTCGAAAACACGTGACCATGTGTTGAATTCTGATTGATCAGTGCTTCTGAATAAAACACATTGGATCACAACCACATAGCATACATAATTCATTATCTGTGAACATTTTAACTGATGTTCAGTGACCCGTTTTATAAGGGTTAATTTAATATTATTTTGGCCTAATTATCAGCTTGCTTTTCTTCCCTATTGGTGTTACACTACAAATTAAAACCAGCCGATGGTTAGCTCCCATTATTTTATTTTGCTTGACGAGAGCTATCAACTCCTAACGGGACCTTGTGGGTCGAAAATAAAAGAAAATTCAGCGGATTCACAAGACGTCAAGTAATTTTGAAAAGATTGAGTGTAGTGAGACGAATCTATGCTTTTTATTCAATGAGGCCTCAGCAAAATGGCACGAGTTTGTTCCGGATTACGTTTCTCGTACACAAACACGCACTTGTCCTAATGATCTTTTAACTCGAAAGTTGTTAAAGACCAGCTTAAAACTCAAAGAATCATGGTGTATTTTCATTTAACTAGACATGATTCGGATGCTTTTCACTACATAGGTATTAAAATGCCTACTTTCAATCATGGTGCCGTAGTGCGATTGAACTCAAGCGATGAAGTGTTGGCCTTTCATGACAAATTGCCAGTCAAATCCAAAAAATCGTCATTATTTTTACGAACTTTCATGGAAAACTATTGTGTTTTGTGGAAGAAGACAGGTAAATGGCCGAATGGGGTAAGCAAGTTGTTTGTGAAGGCGCAGTTTTTTCAACCCCTTCAAATAGGTCAAGATTGAGCCCCAGTCATGAGAAGACCATTTTTCATTAGATAAAACCATCATTTCATGCATAAGCTGTCCATTTTGCAAAAAAATTGGTTTTATATTTAAAAGTATAAACAGGCAGTTTGTCCCAATTAAGAAATTATCATAATTAAAGATTATTCGACCACTGGGTTGGTGGAGGTGGATTTTCTATTGTACTGGCGCATTACGTCAAACGATTGCAAATATCGAGGAATGTAGGCCGATCTGATGGCTCCTCCCTCCAACACTCCTGCATTATTGAGTACATGGAATCCGGAGTGTCAAAAGGTCGCTCAAGACGGTTTCCCGACTTCAGGTGCTCCAACAGTTTAGGATTATCGACATTCTTGTACGGCAGGTAACCAAGACCATAGATCTCCCACAGCACCACGCCATACGACCACACGTCGGAGGAGAGGGTGTACTTGCTGCCATCCTCAATCACTTCCACGGCAGCCCATTTGATTGCAATGTCGCCAGACGTGAAGTGCGAGCCTTGTGGACGACTGCGTCCAAATCCACCTATCTAAAAAACGCAAAATACCTATAGAAACCGATTTTGGTTCACGGGAACATCATTAATTACTGATTCTATGAGCATTTGACAGTTATTTATTTATTAGTTCCCACATTTTCTTGGCTGGAAATGTCCATTTTCAACGTCCTTTTAGAATATCAATTTAAATTCCACTTTTACTTCCTGGCAGTTAGTTCTATCCAGTGACTACGGTTGGTGTTATAGACAATATCATAAAACCTGCTTCAGGACACACTTCCATATATCTACCTTCAGTCGCTTATTCGCGTCAAGGAGGACATTGCGTGCGGCCAGATTTCTGTGTTGAATTTGCTGCTTTTCCAGAACCCGCATTCCAGCAGCAATTTGCCTGGCGAATTCGCGAAATTCTAGCAATTGAACAAAATCACTGGCTTTGTGCAGTCCTTCCAAGTAGGTGGCAAGGTTGCCTCCGGGCATGTACTCTGTCACAACGTAGAGCGCATTAGTATCCAGATACCAACCAATCAGCTGAATAAGGTTGTCGTCTGGTCTTTTTGTTAGTTCCTTTAGCACGACCACCTCCATCGCACCAACAAGTGCATGAGTGGAAGCTTGGCGTATCCGTTTTATCGCCACTTTTGACTTTTCACCGCTGGCTATCTGAAAAGTTTGAATTCATGAGGATTCACATTTAAATAAGTAGTAATCTGTACTTCGAAGCTACCAACATCGACCGTGTTATCCCGGCATTATATACTTAGTTTTCGCAGATGACCAACATGACACCGAAAGAAGCACATTTGTTGATGTAAATTAACATGACGGAGAGACGATCTTAGAAATCAACTGTGCCACGCTGATTATGCATAAGCAACAGGGTTATCTAGACAAAATCCGAGGTGTCATCACATGCAGATCTCAGCACTGTGTTTTTACACTCAATTGATGCAGTTCCGGCAGTATGTTTCCGTGAATGGATGAGTTTTCTGTTTAAAAGGTAGATGAATACCATTCTTCAATTCTTAGGACACTTATTGTGGATTATCTTTCTTGATTTTCGAAGTCAAAAATCAGTATAGCGAATGAATCACTGGTTTCCACGATGAAAGATGCTTGTCCGACACCTGACATTTGTTGTCAACTGATTTAAATCGCTTTCTTGAACGTTTAAACATTTGATCGCAAGATTCTAATCACGCCAGATTCTATGTAAAACAGTGCAGACGAATAAAGTGGATATGCTCACCGTGTATTCTGCCAGTGCAATCTTCTTAAACGATCCCTGGCCGATGCTTTCATCAAGCACATTCAACGAAGATATGTCCAGTTTCATTTGCCCAGCAAAATTAACCAAATCATGACTGTAAATTAGTGACTTGCATCTTCGTGGAACCATCGCCATACCATCATTGCCATGATAAATCTTGTTTAAAGAAAAATTGTGTAAAATTCCTTTAACTTGTAAAAAGTACAGTGCATGCCTCAAACTTCGACTGTCAACGAGCAAGATAAAACATTTATAAATAGGATAAGCATATTATTTTGTGTTCGCTAAATAAAACTGACATGAATTAAATGACTGATTGATTAATTGATCTTATTTATCATTATTCAGCAACCGAAATTTATACTACTTCATAATGATCAGGTCAAATGTCAGCCTTTTCTACAAGTAATAATTAA